ATCATACAGGAGGAGAATGCCCACCTTTCTGTTGTGGAGTACCTGGTGGATTCAGACAACCCTTCTTTGGGTTGACAGTATGCAACTCCTTTGCCAGAGCTCCCTATGTTATATGCTTAATTGCATCAAAGTTAAAAAACTCGAACTTACTGCCATTGGAACTGACTCATAGCCGACCCTCCTTAGGGTTTCTAAGAGTGTAAGTTGCACAAGAAGAGATTGCCCATCGTTCAGCCTCAGAGCTGCTGGTATATTCAAGCTACCAGAGAAACATGATCCTTAGATCAGCAGCACAAATCACTATGTTCATCAGAGCTGTCTATAATTTAGATCATGTAATTTTAGCTTAAAATTAATCAGGTTTCAAGATGTGTTGGTTATTCATAAAATGAGTACTTCCAATGTAGCTTTTCATACAGAAAACACTTTAGGCTACTAGAGCTCCCTCCTTACTTTGATAGCCTTACTAATTCTACAATCTCTTCAGGTATAGAAAGCCTGAAATATTCTGGATGGACTTGCATGTTTTTCTTGGTCTACACTGTATTTTTTATTTACACTGTTGTTGTTGTTGTTGATTGCCGTCGATTTAAGCACAACTCATAGAGACCCTATGAACAAAAGGCTTGAATCCCCTCTACAACTATTGACATTTATCAAAGTTCATAGGGTTTCCAGACACATATTATTTAGGAAGTGGGTGCCACTCCTAATTTTTTTTTTTTTGAGAAAGCAGCTGGCTGCCTTCTTTTATTGATTGATTGATTGATTGTGTGTACCGTCAAATTGGATCTGACTGGTACGGGAGGCGATTGTTCCTCCTCCGTCAGCAGAGCATCTGGTGGATTTGAACCCTGTACCTCTGGGATTGTAGTGCAGTTTCCTGCCACTAGGCGCCACTCCTAAAATTTTGAGTGAGTTGCAAGCATTTAAAAATTAAAAGATTGCATGTCAAACTTGAATTTGTGGCTTCATTTGAAAAATTGGATCATCTGTCAACTCTAAACTTGCTTTTTAGTTTAGCAGTAATTGGCTGGTTTTAAGAAATGACTGCCCTTCCCTGTCTTTTAGTGGTTAGGTGCTCTCCTGCGCTCTCTCGCTCTTTCTCTCCCTCGCTCCCCCCCTCGTGTGTGTGTGTGTGTGTGTGTGTGTGTGTGTGTGTGTGTGTGCGCGCGCGCGCGCTCTCTTGCCCATACTTTCTCTCTCTCTCTAATGTATATATATATAAACTAAGAGAGCTCTGGTGGCCTACTGGGTAAGGAGTTGCACTGCCAATCTAAAGGCAGGTGGTTTGCATTTATGGAGTGACCTAGTGGTAAGGAGCTGTGCTGCCAACCCAAATGCACTCGGTTCAAATCTGCCAACTGCTCCATAGGAGGATTAGCAGTCTCCTTCTGTGTGATTTACAGCCTCTGCAAACCCACTAGAGGGTTATCTATGAGTCAGTTCTGATTTGACAACAATGAATTTAGTTGAGTTTTATGTGTGAAAAGGTATTTAGTCAAACAAATGCTGGTGAGGTTGTAGAGAAACTGGAACCCTTATTCACTATTGGTGGGAATGTAAAATGTTGCAACCATTATGGAAGGCAGTATGGCACTTTCTCAAAAAGGTTGGAAATAGAAATACCATTTGACCCAGCATTTCCACTACTGAGAATATAACCTAAAGAAACCTAAAGAATATAACCTAAAGAACTGCCACCCAAGCAGATATATGCACACTTATGTTTATTGCTGCTTTCTCTATAATAGCAAAGAATTAGAAACAACCCAAATGCCCATCAACTAACGAATGGATAGAGAAGCTGTGGTATATTTACACAATGGAATACTATGCAGGAGTATTCTAACAAGGAACACATGAAATATACAAAATGGGTGACCCTGGAGGACATTATGTTGAGTGAAATATTTCCGTCACAAAAAGACAAATTCTGCATACTGCCACTATTATAAAACAGAACTGACATTGGATTTGGGGGGAACTAATAAAAGAGGGGATAAATAATGTTCACTTTATTGAAACATGAGGGAGAGTACTATTTAAAAGTGTTATATGATTAGGTAATATTTGCATGACAGGAGTCGAGAGTAAGAGCTGCATAGTAAAGTGGACTAGGGGGTTGTATAACAATGAAAGAGTCTTTTTTTTTCTTCTTTTCAAAGAGAAAAATGTGCAACAGTGACTGGAAATCCAAGTTCTCAATAATTTTTCATTAAAATCTCAATTCAAAAAAAGAGGTGCTTAGTGACCTATGTTACTAGCAATCTGAGGTTTCATGGCTTGGTAACTTGCCAACTCAAAGGCAAGTAGTTCAGATCCATCAGCTGCTCAGTGGAAGAAAGATGGGCAGTCTCTTCCTTTGCAATCTGCTGGAGGGTCAGCTGTGAGTTCATTCTACACAACAACAAACTATAGAACTAGTTTGGACTATTTATTGTAAAAGAAAGATGAAGGATCTCTTTATGATTTTATAGCCTCTGAAAATCTTCTGGAAGGTCATCTATCTCTTGGTTTCAACAGTACATAACAACAACAGCAGTGGTATTAGCAATCAGGGAGATTCTCATTTGTACAACAGTGTAATATTTGTGGGCTTATAAAAAATTTGAATTTTTTTTTGAGAATGCTGAAAATAAGATTTGTCTGTACATTGCTGTTGGACAGGCCAATTGAAATCACTCAGGAGGACAACCTGATAATTGTTGGTAAAGCTGAAGATACGTGCCTTTTAACTTAGGATGAGTACTTCTAGGTATTATTCTCTGGGAAGATCTACCATGTGTGCCCAAGAAGATAACCTATCAAGATTGTTTGTTATGATACTATTTTAAATTATAAAAAACTGGAAATAACTCAAGTTCCTTCAGAAAGGGAACCAAATTGTGGTTTAGTTATAGAATGAAATATTATTACACAGTAATTAAATGACTGTCTAAGAGATCTGTCTGTAAGCATTAACCCATCTCAGAATGCTGTTTCTATAAATTTAGAAAGTGCTATTTAAAGATCCGTATAAAAGTACTAATATTGTTTGTGAAAAATATACCTCAGCCTTAACATAGTGGTTATCTCTAGGAAATGAGGAAAGAGCTTTTATTGAATGTATGTAAATATAGGTAGCCTTCAAGTTGAGTTAAACTCATAGCAGAGTTCAACTCAAGCAATCCTATATATAGGGTGCTAAAATTATAGAATTTCCCAGGCTCTATCTTAGAAGGAAGTAGATTGCCACATCTTTCTTCTACCAAACAGCTGATGAATTGAAACTACCAATCTTTTGGTTAACAGATGAAAATTTAACCACTGTGCCACCAGGGCTTATGTGAGTATGGTCTGTCCATACATATATATTTTAAAATCAGAAGCAAATAAGACAGTGTCTTAGAAGTTTATTTAATGTTGATGATTGTGTGTTTAATGTTTGTTTACATGTGAAATTTTTTTTGAGAAAAGAAAAACAGTATTTTATGAAGTTTTTTCTTTTTTGTTGTCATTTCAGTGAAAATTTACAGAAAAATTGGATTTTTATTCATTGTTGCACATGCTCTCTACCTCCTCAGTTAGCCCTTTTTTTAAAAAAAATGATTCACTGCTGCATATATTTTATGAAGTTTTGACATTATAGTTTATGATAGGATATCTTCCCCACCTTATAACAAAAGACCTTGAATTGGATTTTGATTTACTAGTTAAATACATTGCAGTTTATCTTAACCGTGAGACCAGAAGAACTGGATAGGATCCTGCTTCCATTATTGAATGTTCTTGAGTAAAGAATCAATAGATGAATTTTGATGAAAGGAGAAAAAGAATGTGGAACATGATTTAAATTCTTCAGGATCCCTTGACATTGGAGGAAGTCCTAAATCTCTTGCTCTAAGAAAAATCTTCAAATCATGCTTTAAAATGATCTCCTGAAATCATCTTTAAACAAGTTAGCTAATCTAGTAAAGAATATTTGCTATGAGAATTGTGCTAGTCTAAAGAATTATTTATATATAAGATCAAAAGGAACAACAACAAGTGCTACACAACTTCAAAGGGAAGATATTTTACAAAATATTCTACAGAATTATACAGAGTATCATAGGATTCTACAGGATGTTCTACAGAATACTGTAAATATTTATTCTACACTAACACCAAATGGAACTGCTACATTATTTCTCCAGAGATCTTGAGTAAAAATCCTTAATTTAAAAAAAAAAAAATTAAAAGGAACTATAAAGCAAACCAGCAAGAATGTTTCTTAATATTGCAAATGGTATCAAAGTGTGTATAACCATTGGCAGCTTGCATTTTTAAAAAAAAAGTTTTTTTGGAGCTCTGGTGGCCTAGTGGCAGGAAGCTGCACTACAGTCCCAGAGGCCCATGATTTGACTCCACCAGATGCTCTGCCGGGAAAGGAGGGACAATCTCCTCCTGTACCAGTCAGATCTGATTTGACGGTACACAGACACACAAAAACAATAATAAAATTTTTAAAAATTTAAAA